CCCCTGCCCCCGCCCCCCAGGCCGCAGCCCTTCTCCGGCCGCCACAACGGCTACCTGCAGCGCTACGTGCAGACGGGCCAGGCGCGCATCCTCGGGTCCACGCGCGACGTGGTGGCCGTCACCAAGGACCGCACCATCCTGCCGGTGACGATCCATGTCGTCCACCTCAGCGGCAACGGCGCCGACGCGGTTTTTGCCGGCGTCCTGCGGCCCGCGCAGCCGGTCGAGGCGGCCACAGTGCGGGTGAGGGGGTCGGGTGCGTACTGCGACTGGGCGAGACGGCGGATCGGCGAAGCAGCAAGGTTGTGTGTGCGCGCGCTTCTCTCGCCCATGTGCTGTGAGGGCCCTTTGAGGGCAGGCGCGCCTCATCGGCCGTGATGGGGACAGTCCTCTCTATTTTGAACGCTGTAGTCGCCAACCGCTTCTCATTCATGTCAGCAACCTGACGTGCTCTCGTCCTTTGATGCACTCTAGGCTGCTTTACTCTCGATCAAAACCGTGATCTACTAACCTTCATCACAAAATTCGTCGCACCTCTCAACGCGCCTCAACTGCCAGGTGTGGGTGGCACCCAACACGCACGGCATACTGTGTGCGGATGCCCACGCCGCGGACCACCTGGGCTTTGACCTGGGGACTGCAATGATGGGGCAGCCCTTCTCAAAACTGGGGCCTGATGCGGAGGCAATAGAGAGGTGGGCACACACACATGTGTGTGTGTGTGTGTGTGTGTGTGTGTGTGTGTGTGTGTGTGTACACGTGCGTGCGTGTGTGCGTGCGTGCGTGCGTGCGTGCGTGTGTGTGCGTGCGTGTGTGTGAGTGTGTGTGCGCGCGCGTGCGTGCAAGCGTTTGTGCGTGCGTGCGAGCGAGTGTGTGTGCTGGCAGGGGCGGGGTTGGTTGGGAAGCATAATGCGCCTGTGCAGGTGCATTTGTCAAGCGTCCTGTGAAAATGGCCTCCTGCCCTTGCTGCTTTGATTCAATGACAAGTGGTTGACTCTTGGATGATGTTTGCGCCTGCATTGGCTCTTGCCCCTTGCCTGCAACTACTCTTTTTGCGGGGGCTGCCTCAGCCAATTGTTGCCGCAACCCACTCACAGGTTTATAGAGACCGCAGGGTCTGCGCGTGCGGAGGAAGTGGAGGGCGGCAAGCTGCAGCTGCGGACAAAGCTGTCGCACAGGTGGGTGCCAGGGATGGGGTGTGCAAGGGGCGCGAGGGCCGAGGCTGGGTACACCGGACGGTCAACGGCTCGCTTGCTTCCTCAGACTTAAGTTGCCAGGTGTTATCGGACGTGTGACACACGGACCAGGGTCGCACAGCAGGTTGGCCGGCAGCAGACGCATGCGACGCGGGTGATGACGCGTCAAAGGGCAGGGGTGGCTGGGTGCCAGCACCACCCTACACCTGATGGTAAGCAAGCAGGTCAATAACATGAACCCAACCAGGCCCGTGCGCACTTCTGTCTGTCTTCTTCTTGTCATTCTTTCAGGTACGCCCCCGCCATAGAGGCTCTGCTCACTGCGGAGCATGGGGGCACAGACACAGAGCGGCTCCTCATCATACACATCACGGTAAGGCGTGAGGTCGCACGCGTGTGCGATGACGTGCTTGTGTGTGTGCATGTGTTTAAGCATGCGTGCGTCAATGCAGGCGCTACAATGCCATGGTTCCTTGGAAGCAACATCACCCCGGAGGAGGGGGCCTGCCGCGGCTGGCTACAACAGGGGTGGGATTTTTGTTGCATGCAGCGGCCGCTGCCGACGCCTGCATTGCGTGCGAAGCTGCGATCTCGGAGGAAGGGCGGCGCCTGGGCAGCGGCTAACCTGGCCTGCGCTCTAAAATTCACGCCCGTCCTGCCAACCATCCGCGCAGTTTGTGGCTGACGCGCGCGCCATAATGGTGATTGACAAGAAGGGTCGCATCCAGTACGCCACCAGCGCCCTGGCCCGCATGTGAGTAGGAGCCTGGGGGTTTAGGGCCGTGGCGCGCTTGCTTTGGCTGGGATCCACCCGCCATGATGACCCCTTGCGAGGCCGTTACGAGGCTCAGAAGTCTGAAGGGCGACAAGCCATGGTAACACCATCAGCAGCCGTGATGTTCTGAACGCGGCTCTGTCAAGCACTCATCGCACCACTTGTTGCAGCTCTCTGTCGTCGGCCAAAAGCGTCTGCTCTTTGCCATCCTGGAAAGCTGGCGCCACCCCAGGATTCAACACCAATGCACCCATCACGTCCCTTCACCCCAGGCTGGGATACCCCACGGCGCAGCTCTCAATGCTGGAGCTCTCGGCGATCGTGCCACCCCCCTACGGCCAGCTGCACCCTGGGTACATGAAGGTGCGCTGCGGCACCCGCCGGCGTGCGGGACCAGTTGGCCTACTGCACGGGCCCGCCTGGGGCTGTGGGGCTAAGCAATCCGTTCCGTCTGCCGCAGGGCTGGACCCTATGGCATCAATATCCGTGCTGCGAATGGCATATCATGTTGGAAACTCCTCTGTATTGCCTGAGAAATCATCAACTCAGACTGTTCATCTGTGTAATCGCCCCACATTCACTGCCTTGTCTTTTGCCCCTCGCCTTTTCCGCCCTTCCGCCAGGACCTGTCAAAGCCGCCGCCGCCGAGCAGCTGCCGTGCCGGCGGAGTGGTGCGGCTGATGCGCGCCAACGGGGCCACCATGCCCGCGACGCTCAAGATATCGATCAGCCAGGAGGGCGAGAGCACAGGCCACCACGTCGTGCAGGCACGCGCGCCCAGCAGCGGCATCACAGCCATGCAACCCCGCTCCCGCGCTGCGATGAGTGTTCCGCAGCCCTCGTGCTCAGTGCTGCTTGCACACCCCGCATTTGCCACCGGCAAAGACGCCGGGAAAATTTCTGGTGCCGAAACTTGGTCAGTTCCGCTTGCTCGATGGAGGCTAGGCCCACGCGACTGCGGCTGCCAACGGTTCAGGGTGTACTATGCTAAGTGAGAACACCTTGCTGGTCTTTCGTTGTCCAACCCCGCCAGGTGCTTCCGTCGTCAGAGGCGGCGTCCTTTGACCGCGTCCGCCTGGAGTTGACCGTCACCCAGGCCGGGCTGGTGGAGGCCGCCAGCGCGGGCGCCACCAAGGCCGTCTTTGGCTTCTCGCCGCAGGTGCGCGATACGCAGGGCCCCAAGCGTGGCACCCAGGCGTGCATGCGGGACGGGCGGCAATCTGGAGCCGTGACAGTCTGCGGCTTGGCGACGGCCAACCCTTGGCCGCGTGTTGCCTGGCGGGCTTCTGAAACTCCTCCCCCCCTTCTTGCGTGGTCGTCAGCGTGGCCGCCGGCCGGCGGTGTCGTGCTCCTCTGACTCAGCACGTTGGCGTAATCCCCGAATGCTCTGAGTGAATGCCTGACGCAAGCTGCCTCGGCCGCCACGCGCTGCCGCCCTGCCGCTCCCCTCCCCTCAGGCCCTGGTGGGCAAGCAGCTATCCGCCGTCATCAACGCCTTTGACGAGTGGGGGCAAAAGTTTGGCGACGACGGCGCCGGTCTGCTGGTGGCGCTCGGCGTTCGCGCGGCCGAGGGCGGCGCGGCGGCGGACGCGGCGTGGCGGGTTGGGGTCCACCCCCCCAAGGACATCGAGGCGGCCTCCGTGAGCCGCCCCCGGCAGCTGCGCCACGCGCGGAGCAGCGGGGGCGTACCCGAGCCCTCTGCTCTGCTTGCGATCCTGCGTGAATCGCATGAATTCAGGGCCGTCATTGTGCTCGAGGGATAAACGCGCATGGCCAACAGCCACACACACAGTGCCTTGTGCATGTGCAGACGCAAGAAAAATGCAACCCCCTTGTGCCATCCCCCCCTTGTCCCCTGTACTCCTCACAGACCAGCGCTATGGCGTTGGCGCTGCAGCAGCGCAGGAGAATCCAGCCGGCGCTTATGCAGGTGCATTCGTGCGTGGGTATGCAGGACAACAGCCCTGCTAGCTCGCGCTTGTCAGTCGTCAATGTTTTGCGAGGCACTATGGTGTTTTTTCACAAAGGGCGCTCTTGTTGAAAGTCAAAATCCAAGGACGAGGTTAGATTCCTGGTGACTTTGCGCCCTGCCATGAACCCGAACAGGTCAAGCTGCATGAACCTGGCTCCGCAACTGCCGGGGATGGGCTGGCCTCCGCCGAGGGCGTCGCGGCCGCTGCCGCGGCCGCTGGCATAGAGGCGCCCCGCCCGCAGGACGCGCGGCTGCGCGTGGTGCTGTGGCGCGCCGACGCTGTGGCGGGCGTGGTGGAGGTCAGCGGTGGGCCCGCGGGACTGGCGGTGACGCGTGCCGACGATGCGGCGGGGCTGATATTCGGTGCATGCCCAAAGGCCCTCCTCAAGCGCAGCGCGGCCAGGTAGGCAGAGCAAGTCGCACTGGGCAGTGCGCTCTGTAGCGCATGGGGCATTCTCTAGTGCCCTTTGCAGGCTGCTGCTCTTGGCAATTGGCACCAGCATGCTGTGGGAGCAGGGCCCCGACATGCACACCCCATGACCGCCGGATGGCCGGTGAGATGCACCCCCTGCCCTGCCCTCTGTGTCCTGCACATTATCCACAATTCAAGCCGTCCCGCTCCTGAATGGTGCATCGCCTCACTGCGCTTGTCCCTGCCTGTGCCTCTTTTGAATGCGGATGGTTGTCCTGCCCCCAGCCTGCTGGGCCTACCAAAGACGGCCAAGCCGGCAGACCTCCTGACAGGGTCAGACCACAACAGCAAGCGCGGCGCCCTCAAGGCAGGCACGGGCTCGGCGCCCAAGGTCGGCCCCCGGAAGCGGCTGACGGGGCGCCACGCAGACGGCGCACCGCTCCTGCTGGAGATCCAGGTGGGTGTGGGGCGGGCAGGGTCTGGGCCGGGCAGGGTCGAAACTTAAAAATATCTAGGACGAGGCGTAAACGTAGCACGCGCGCAGTGCAAACTCAGTTGCCTCAATGCCCGCACTGCATTCACTGCGAAGCCCAGGGATTGAATGCCACCAGCCTGGGCATCCAACAAAACAACGCTGCGTGTCATGCCTGACGCAACCACCCCACACCCCGTGTGACACACACCGCCCTCTCCCGTGGCGCCCTTCAAACGCCCCTGCGGGCCCCCAGGCTGCTGCCAAGCACGCGCAGGGGACGCGGCGGCTGGCTGTGCTGATCAAGGCCACTGACCCGTCCACAGGATCTCTGGAGCCCTTCCTGGCCCTGAGGGAGGACGCGCCGGCCCGCGGCCACCGCGGCCAACCCCAGGACCGCCGCGCCACAGAGGCCGGCGCCGCCACATCA